CTCTGGACCGTCTGGTCCCTCATCCTACCCGTCCTCGCCCAAAAGCCGCAACTGCCCCTCTTCTCAACATCCCGATGGATAACAGACTCCTCCAACGCCCGTGTCAAGCTCCGCTGCGTCAACTGGGCCGGCCACATGGAGGTCAACCTCCCAGAGGGCCTCCACAAGCAGCCGATAGAGTACCTGGCCGACTGGATTAAGCAGCAAGGTTTCAACTGCGTGCGCCTCACCTTCTCGACAGACCACGGCACGAACCCGGGCATCAACGTTCGCGACTCCTTCGTCAACGGCGCCAAGGCAGCCGGCGTGCCCGAGGCCGACCTGCTCAAGCTCTACGACCAGGCCCTAGTGCAAAACCCGTTCCTCGCCGATACCAACATAACGCAGCGCGACGTCTTTGGCAAAATCATCGACGTCCTCTGGGACCGAGACATCATGACCATCCTCGACAACCACGTCAGCAAAGCCTCCTGGTGCTGCAACCTCGACGACGGCAACGGCTGGTGGAAGGATGCGCGCTTCTACTGGGCCGCCAACTCGCGCTACTTCGACACGGACGACTGGCTCGCGGGTCTGCAGCAGATGAGCCTCTGGGCCAAGACCAAGCCCGGCGTCGCGGCGATTTCCATCCGCAACGAGCTGCGCGCGACGTGGACGCAGATCCCCTTTGCCGCGGACCAGTGGTACGGCTACGTGACGCGCGGGGCGGAAGCCGTCCGCGGGGCGAACCCGGACGTGCTCGTCATCGTCGGCGGGCTCAACTCGGCCACCGACTTTTCCCCGCTGCGGACGAGAAACCTCGATACAAGCACGTGGAAGGGGAAGAATGTGTGGGAGGCGCACAGCTACAGCTTCACGGTGACGACGCCGAATTTCGGGGACTGCAACGTTGAAAAGGCAGAGTACGGCGCCCTGTTCGGCTTCGTGCTGGAGCAAGGGAAAGGGTACACCGGCCCTCTGTTCCTGTCCGAGTTCGGGGCCGCCATGGAGGGCGGGAGCGAGGACGGGCTGTCGACCGAGGAGCATGCGTACTTGACTTGCCTTGTGGGCTATCTCGAGGACAATGACGCGGATTGGGCGCTGTGGGCGATTCAGGGGTCGTATTATGTGCGGAACAAGGTGGTTGATTTCGACGAGACGTGGGGTGCCATGGATCACGAGTGGAAGGATTGGCGGAATGGCAAGTTCAAGGGGCTTTTGGGCAATATTTTTGCTGTTACTCAGGGGCCTTAGCATGGCTGCTGCGAGGGTGAGAACGTGAACTTATACGAGATGTCGGCGTTCGGGATCGAGATGATGTATATAGATCTTGTCCGGATGATGGACAGAGATAGTTTACTGCTCAAGTGTTAATGCTGAGGAACGACTCCCTTTCGTGTCAGGGCGAGGATATCTTTGTACCACCAACCATCTAGATGGGCAGCGATAACTCTTCCATGTCGAGAGTAGCCAGTATTCTTTGCCACGCATTTGGGCCGTCGCATCGAAAGATCAGGGCGATATCAATGATAGGACGCCTCTGGGTTGTCATCGTCCAACCATGCTTGGTGCAGACGGAGCCGTCGATGACAGTGATTGGAAAAACTGGGTATCATGAATTTCTACCAATGTCTAGTCCTAATACTTGGCCAGCTGGCTGGTCTGGGTGAAAATGACCGCCTGCCCTCTCGGCTGACGCTGGCTGGAGACCAAACTCCCTAGGACGCCTCATTTGCCTCGTCAGCCTTGGCCTCTTCGACTGTCTCTTCGGCCTCTTCTGTCTCTTGTGCTTCCGCGGTCTTCTCGGTCTCCTCGGCCTCCTTAGCTTCTTGAGACCCGTGGTTTTCTTGCGACACCTCTACCGGCGCATCGTCCATGACAGTGTCCGCTTCATCTACCGCTGCCTCGTTCTCTGGCTTGCCATTGCTGAGCTCGGCCTCTTCGGCTTTGCCATAGATGTGGTCCTCCAACGTCTTGTAAGTGGCATCGAGCTCCTCGTTGGTAAGAACCAAATCGAACCCATCCTTTAGCTTCGAATCTTCTTCCCAGTAGGGAGAAGCTTTGGCAAGGGCGTCCGCAATCAAATCGCCTTTCTCCGCCTTTTGCAAGCGTTCTTCCAAAACTTCTTTACTTGGTGGCAAAATGAGAATTGTCCGTGCCGAGTAGCCAAGGTCGCGAGTCTGTTGGACAGCCTACATTTCGTTTAGTAAATTTCAGTCGTCAGCTGGGAGAGGAGGGTTATGTCTTACCTCGCTATCCATGTAGGTGACTGGGACCTTGCTCCCCTCGACAAGCGCTTCTAAAGCCTTTCGGCTCGTGCCATAGTCCACGTCATCTATCGTGGTAAACTCCAACAATGCATCGCCATCTCTCAGCATGTTAAAGGCCTGTTTCTCGACGAAGTAGAAGTCTTTGCCCTCAGCCTCGCCTTCTTGTGCCTTTCTCGTAGTATGCCGTGGCACGTGTTTAAAAGCTCCAGGACGTCGGCTTGCGAGTAATTGAAAAAGCGTCGCTTTCCCTGCACCGGGCGGTCCCGAGAGTATGATTGGGCGCTTGTCTTCAGGAACGTCTTCAGATTTTACGACTTCCTCGGCAGTCTCGCTCTCGTCTACATCGACCGGTTCCTCAAAGATGGCGTCGATCTTTTCCGGATCGTCGATCTTGTCGAATGAGGCCAACCTTGATTTACCTGCTATCCGGAGGGCGCGCCAACTCTTACTCGCTTTGCTTTCAATAAAAGGCGCCTTTTCCTGGGGGGTGTTTGACATGTCGATCTCAAAGTCGTCGTTTGCAATCTTCCCCTTGAAGCTCTCAAGCTCTGGCAGGCTGTATCTTTCCGGGGCCTTGAGCTTCTTCATCGCACGCTCGTCATCGCCATCATCGAGGAAACCGAGGGGCAGAGACCCCATCGGCGTGGCTCTTAACCGCTTCTTTGTCGTTATACGCTGGGCTGCCTTTTTGGCCTCGTCAAATATCTCTGGAGATACTGCGGGCAACTCTATTGATGGGCAGTTCTCCGATTTCCAACGGATCCAGTTCTTATCCCTGGCAAGGACCGTTTCGACCATTCGACTGAAATACGGACCGTCAACGCCATGCTTGAGGTATTTATCGACAATTGTCTTTTTCATCTCCGTCGCCCACTTCGTCTGTCTCCATGTCAGTCTGGCTCTATGGTTGTCACAGATGTAGTATAATCACTCACATCTTCTTCGGTAAGAACCTGGCCGAGGTAAATCACCGACTTATTTTGAGCGTTGCCGGCTAGTTTCTCCTTCGTTTTCGGGGAAAGTGAGAGAAGGAAGTCCATGATGATCAAGGCTTGAACGAGGATATGTCTGCGGAAAGAAATGTCGCTCATCTAGGACAGTCAGTCTGAGGGCCACACAGCATTATGTACTGCTGCTTACCTCTAGCTCGAAGAGGTCTCTGCTCGTCAGATATTTGGGGTTATATGAGTTTGCCAAGTCGCTCTCTTCCACATCTGCTCGTTTCCGTTTGAAGCCTCGTTGGGCCTCATCTACCGCTTTTGGCGGCCGCTGACCCTGCTCGCTTTGAATTGCTCGGAACGATATCATTGTCGCTTCTAAGCCGCGCTTGAACTCATTCAAGTGGGCAGGATCGAACAATCTCTTGGGTTGGCTGAAAGTCTCCTGCAGAGACCAGAATAAGGGATATAGAGCATCTGGCTCAAGCGGCTGATCATTCTGCACTGACTTCTTCGCGTCGAACGAAACTGCCTTTGGTTGAGACTTGGTCTCTTTTTCCTTAGCCCCTGTCTGACTATCCACATCCATTTGCTCGGGAGTCTCCTCAGCCTTGGTACTCAAATCGTCAAAGACAGTGACATTCTCGGTATGGTATTCTCCTCGCAAGTTGACGGAGCTCTTGTCTCCCAGGGGAAAGCTCTGGAACATGAAGATGAAGACGCGACCACAAAAAGCAGTATCCTCAGCTCGAGAGAGACGCCGCAGGAGTTCGTTGCAGCTGCGAAGGATCACCAATTGTTTTTGCTTGAAATGGTTCACGGTAATCCTCTCGCGTCTCGACTCAAGAAAGTCGAAGATCTTGCGGCATCCGGCGATTGTTTGGCTGTCCAGAAGTTCTTCTACCAGCCAGAATAGCAAGGCTGGGTCGCATTTTTCGTCGTCGGAGAGCACAGTCAGGAGGTCGAACAAGTTCCAGACCTTGACGAAATCTGGGGATTCGATGGGCGTCGTGGCCTAGAGAAGTATGTTGTTAGTCAATCGATGCCTGGCGAGGACAATTGAGTTCGACCTACAATCAAATTGCTGAACATATCTCGTACGGCAGTCTCTATGATAGCGAATTGTTGGGCTTTGTTCTGTATCGCAATGCCGGCGCCATTCTCTTCTGCGACCCCCGGAATCGCAAGCACGCGAGCAAGCTGATCCTGCAGATCACCAAAGTCTGCCTTTTGTAATGCTGGTTCAATGGTAGGTGTAGACTTGACCTCCATCGAGCGAGCCAGGAGGTTGTCCAGCAATTTTGCAAATGCAACGACCCCGGGCACCTCATGGCGCTGAGGCGTGACGGCGGCCGGCATCTTGGGATCGGTCGAGAGACTGCGCTTAGTTGTGTAGAAGCGAGGAAAGCTTGGCCATATATGCCATGTGACGGTAGGTCCGGCCGGTCGAATGGATGCCGCGTTTTGTTTCCTCTCGACGCTAGGTGTGTTGAAGACTTCGTCGTGGAAAAGGTATTCGCAATGCGCAATGTTGCCGACTGAAAGAATTCACGATCGGTCAGCTTCAGTTCCCGTAGTGGAGGTATCCGTAAGGTAAGGCACGTCGCAAACAACAACCTTGAGTCTAAGGTAAGTGGGTCCACCGACTGGCGCTACCACCCTGGAAGAAGTTTACAGCACCCTTTTGAGACACCCATAGGCACCTCGCGACTCAGGTGCTCTATCGGACCAGTGAGCAGCCCTATAGTGTGCAAGCAAACACTGGGGGAAGACTGATCGCGTCGCTTTGTCGCGTGGGGGACCTGCACCACCAGCCAACTTACCTCCATCTGAGAGTGCGACTTGCCCGAAAAGCAAGGCTGAAATTTTTGAGAGGTGAACGAGCTCTGCATTTCGTCACTTTAAACGATTGCGCGCCTGCGCATCGAATTTTCCACAGCAAATCGATACCCGCCTCGTCTTTTCCTTACCAGCATGCAATCGCGCATATAGGCATTTCGTTTCGTTCGAAGTTGAAAAGCACCATGCCGACAGCCAAGAGGCAGAAGAAGAGCAGCGAGGCTCAAGCTGCGCCGTCAACCCGATCCCAAACAAAGGCCACCAGCGACCGTCCGACGGTTGCCGACATCGAGGGGGAAAGCGCATTCGCTCAATTGGCAAAGAAGCATTGGCTGAAGACGACAAGGAGCAAGAGGGCGACCAAGATCAAGGTCAAGAACGATGTTCTCAAGCAAGAGATATGGGATGTTTTGGAACGTGATGGTTTTCCGTATAAGTCTATCTTGACTTTGGAGAGCTTGCAGACTCTCGAGAGGTATGTGCAATTGCGCTGATCTCTGAATATTTGCTGATCCTAACGTCCCTTAGTTACCTGTGGCCCGGATACTCCGACGATTCCTCCAACCATCATGTCTTACTGTTGGTCCTGCTGGCTAACGTGAAGCGCCGTGAGCAACTCGAGGCATGGAGCATATTCGAGGATCGGCCAGACGAATTCTCGAGCCTTTTTCGCCGAATCCTATCTCTGACTCTCGACCAAACGCTTTCGCCTGCGATCCGGACACATCTGCTGTCATTCTTGATCTCGGCCTTTCAGAGCTTGGACTGCGCGATTGTGAGGAAAGAGTGCGCACCGTTGGTTTCAATTTCGATATGGCACAGCTTGTCGACGGAAGAACTACGCGAAGAGAAGCTCGAGCAGCACGCGCATGTGAGAAAAGCATGGCGTGCTGCAGGAAAAAGATACGACGCTGCCGACGACGCTACAAAGGCGAAATTGCGGTTTGATCGATCATGGCTGTACAGCTTGGTCCTGCACTTTCTCAGCTTGATATACACAGAAAACGCAAAGCCAGGTAAGAAACTGTCATATGATTAGCTGAGGGAACGCGTGTCTGACGTGAACTAGACCAAGTCCTATACTGCGAGCGTTTTGTCGAGTTCCTGACAGACTTACAAAGCCAACTTCCCACTCGACGTTATGTCAACACACTCCTGCTTGACCTCCACATTCTCCCCGCCATGCGCCTCTCTCCTGTCTTTAATGACGAGGAGAACAGTCTTTTGAGGGATTTGAACGCACTTCTCAGACATTACACCTTTTTCACAATTGATGACCAAACAGGCGCACAGCTGAGCCGGACAGAAGCGTATGACAAGCACTGCGCAAACTTGTCAAGGCTTCAGAAGACGTCACTGAAGCATTTCAAGGAAAAGCTCACTGTGTTAGCGTTGTCGAACTATGGCTCCATTGACAAGAGAGATGAGCTGGCCGGACTTCTGGAACCTCTGACCGACGAAGAGATTGTTGAGTTGGCAGGATTGCTTCGCCTCCGGACGACGTATCCAGACTCTTTATCAGTGAGCATCGACAGGAAATTTCTCCTAGAGGCGCTTCTCACCACATTTGAACGGCGGAAGACCTTCCAGGAAATCTCTCGCGACATGGCGTTGGTCCCCACGGAGCAATCTCTGTTCGAGAACAACGTGATGAGAACCGAGAACTACGATGGTTCCCATCCTCTCGCTTTGCCAAAACTTAACTTGCAGTACCTGTCAGTTGGCGACTTCCTCTGGAGATCGCTCGTCTTGTACCGTGCCGAGTCATTCTACGGCATCAGGAAAGATGTTGAGTCCGCCATTCGTCGCCTTCGGCCCGAAAGCCGCAGACCGGGTGAAACCAGCTTCCAAGGGTTCTCCAAGATGGCCTTGCCGACTACAAAACCTTCAATCCTCGAAGTTGTGCCTGCCCTCGTAGGCGACGACAAGCCGTCATTGGTTCGGGCGGAAATCTCCATTGATGTTCGCCGCCTGAACGATGGTATCAAGCGTGAATGGGACTCGCTGAGACCAGACGATGTAGTCTTCCTTCTTGCCATCCAGGCTCCCGCCTCCCAAAGCGCTACGAACGGAGATAGTGCACACTCAGAAACCGAGAAGCTTGGCATCATCTCCATTCGATCTGCCGAGATCATTCAGATCACTGACGACAAGGGCAAGGTGGTTCGAGATGGTTCCGGTCACTACGACAGCCGTCGGAGATTCCAGTTGAGACTGGATTCCAGGACATATGCTGCGGATGCCGAGCGCTCCTCTGCAAGTCCGCCCGAGGCATACGAGCGGATCAATGTTATCATGCGTCGCAGCGGAAGAGAAAACAACTTCAAGCCCGTATTGGAATCTATCCGCAGCTTGACACTTTCAGAGGTCCCGATTGCTTCGTGGTTCCATGAAGTTTTTCTCGGCTACGGCGACCCTGCCGGTGCAACCTACAAGCAGTTGCCGAACCGCATCAAGACTATCGACTACCGAGACACTTTCTTGGATTGGCAGCATCTTACTGGGAGCTTGCCAGGCAAGATTGTGGAGCCGAGTGATGATGTTTCTGGCAGCTTCGGCCCTCCTTATGTGTTGGAAACTGCCGAGCGTCAAGCCGTTGAACCCTCATCAAAGCCATCCAAGAAGCGTCGTCGGGACACTGAGCCTGCCTTGCTGGCTGAGGTGGAGACAGTGAAGGTATCAACGTATAAGCCGCCCAACACTGGCCCATATCCTGTCGACGCGCCGAAGTTAAACAAGGTGCGATTCACTCCGGCACAGATAGAAGCGATCACATCGGGAACGCAACCTGGTCTCACAGTCATCGTGGGCCCTCCTGGAACGGGCAAGACGGATGTCGCAACACAAGTCATCAACAACATCTATCACAACTTTCCGGAGCAGAAGACGCTCTTGATTGCACATAGCAACCAGGCGCTCAACCAGTTGTTTGCAAAGATTGTGGCCTTGGACATTGATGCCCGTCATCTGCTTCGTCTGGGACACGGCGAGGAAGAGCTCTACACGGAAGGCAGTTTCAGCAAACACGGTCGTGTCGAATCTTTCCTGGAAAACCGAGATCGATACTTGCTGGAGGTCAACCGTCTAGCATCCAGTATTGGTGCCCCTGGTGCTCACGGTAATTCTGCAGAAACGGCCGGCTACTTCAACTCCGTGTACATTGAGCCAGCGTGGACCAAGTTCACCGAAATCACCAAGGCGGAAGAGGCCTCGGCTGCTGACATTGTCGGCGCTTTCCCCTTCCATCAATTTTTCTCAGATGCGCCGCAGCCCCTATTTACAACCGAAGCCGACAAAGAAAGCATCCTTGATGTTGCTAACGGGTGCTACCGCCATATTGCAAAAATCTTCTCTGAATTGGCCGACGCCATGCCATTCGAGATTTTACGCCGAGACAAGGATAAGGCCAACTATCTCCTGACCAATGAAGCACGAATCATTGCCATGACGTCTACTCATGCAGCAATGAGACGTGGAGAAATCGCTTCCCTTGGATTTCACTATGACAACGTTGTCATGGAGGAAGCAGCTCAGATCACTGAGATTGAAAACTTCATTCCCTTGGCCATGCAGAAGCCAAAGAAGGGGCAAATGGGCCTGCAGAGAGTTGTCCTTTGTGGTGATCACTTCCAGAACTCCCCAGTCATTCAGAGTATGGCATTCCGGCACTACGCAAATCTTGAACAGTCGCTGTTCTCGCGACTCGTCCGCCTTGGAGTGCCCACTATCAACCTGGACCAGCAAGGCAGAGCTCGATCATCCATTGCCAGTCTCTACCAATGGCGGTATCCCAAGCTGGGCAACCTGCCTCACGTGGAAAGCGAAGGCGAATACTCTGTGGCGAACGCTGGCTTCAAGTACGACTACCAGTTCATCAACGTCCCCGACTACAAGGGACGTGGAGAAACGGAGCCAACTCCTCACTTCATCCAAAACCTCGGAGAGGCGGAGTATGCAGTGGCTGTGTACCAATACATGCGCCTTCTAGGCTACCCGGCGTCGAAGATTAGCATTCTGACCACTTATGCTGGCCAGCGAGCCCTGGTGAAAGACGTCTTGGCCCATCGATGCGCCGACAAGACCATCTTTGGCATGCCCAAGATTGTCACAACCGTGGACAAGTACCAGGGCGAGCAAAACGACTGTAAGTTCTACCGTTGGTGCGCAGCGTGACTGATCTGTGCGGAAAACTAATTGTGTTCTAGATATCATTCTCTCGTTGACCCGCACATCAAGAGTTGGATACCTTCGGGACATCCGTCGCATGACGGTTGCGCTTTCTCGCGCGCGTCTCGGTTTGTACATTCTTGGCCGTCGTGAGATATTCGAGGCATGCTATGAGCTACGGCAAGCGTTCGACCAGCTCTTGGCTCGACCTGATAAGCTCATGCTTGTCACGGGCGAGCTCTACCAGACAGAGAGGCTGAATGTTGAAGATGTCAAGACTGAAGTCCCAGGAGAGGTTTGCATGGAAGGAGTGGAGCATCTTGGCCAGTACGTATACCAGATGACCAACACCAAAGTGAAGCAGCTGCAAGCCGAGGGCACGATGGCTGGAGGTGGAGAGATGGAGATTCTCGAGACTCCGCTGGAAGTTGTGGACGAGGCGGAAGAAGAAGAAGGAAAAGGTGCCGCGGAGGCCATCCCTGATGGAGTTGAGGAGTGAGGAACAAGCATGGCGAGGCGTGTTGATGAGATACAAGAATGACGGCCAGAGCGGTGGTCATCTAGTAGGATAATGACGGGAATGGCTCATTTCTACAGTGTTTACGAATATCGGATGGGTAGACCCAACTACAAACAGGCCAGGGACCTTGACGAGCAAGATGCTTGAAGCAACTCTGTGCTATACTGTGCCCCCTTGCCCCTTCAATGACAAAGCTTGCGTATGTGAGAATCCTCAAGCACGTGCACGAAGTTGTGAGTTACAGAGTGGCACACAATGGCTATTCTAGAACGACGGGTGGAATGTTTGAAGTTGAAAGGACGGCGATCAAACGGCTCTGGCCGACTTCATCTGTGCAGAGAAAGCAGGAAGGATGCTATAATTACCGCCCATACTCCTGTAGCCATCCTCGATCAGGATGAGACCCATGGTGATGAAGCGCGTCTTGAGTACAATACATAAACTTACAAAGTAGCGCCGACCATGAGTTACCTTCCATTACAGGTAGGTAGCTAGGTGCTTAAAAATCTAAGGTAAGTAGAGTCCGACCAGCCAGTAAGCGCCGGCTGTCTGGGGTCCGTACACCATGTACGGTGACGACAACCACTGCAGCACTGGTACTGCAGAAAAAGGGTGTTTTGGATATGATGAGCAGGGATGGGCAGGGGGAAAGCAGGGAAGAAACGTCAGGTCAGCTAAGTAAGACTCACGGGCAGATCCGTAGTACTGTATATGCAAGTCGCTGGCTACGGCAGACGGTAACGGCGTAACGGAGCCCTGTTGGGGGCTTCTTCGTCTCGAGTCTTTGGGATCGATCTCACTGGGCATAGGGGTTCGGATGGAGGGGTTAGAAGGAATCGGGGAATTTTGTTGTTTGACTGTTCTTAAGGGGAGTGACTGCATAAAGGCTCTGAGTCAAACGTGTGAGGTGTTCTGCCCTTTATGTGAGTCTGCGTGCGTGTCATGATGCTGAGGCGCGGTTGACCAAGGAGTGGAAGGGGAAAAGTCTAACGGAATGGTGTGGCAGCTGGCATACAGAGCGTTACGATGACCAGGCACCAGTGCCATGTTACGCACCACAGAGAGGAAGGAAGAAGAGAACAGAGAATGACTGGACTGGGTGACTGATTGGCTGGTAATTAGAACAGCGCAACCAAGGCAACACAGGACACAAGAAAAGCACGAGCATCGCCCCGAGCTTGCTTGGAGCAACGGAAGAACAACCCTCTCTCCACCCCTAAAATAGTGCTCCCGTCCGTTAGCGCGTTCGCGCTGCGACCGAAAGAGGCCAGCTGCAACTTGGGGAAATCAGACTCTACCGCCTGAATGGGGGAGAGGAGAAAGAATAAGATGGGGGGGAAAGCACGGGTAACGGAGAGCCTGTAAATTCGGATATTGGGCAACGTTCAGGCACTGGGCTCCGTGAGTAACCTCATTTCTCTTCCCTCAAGCTCACCTGTGACTCCCCGTCTCACTTATCATGGAGACTTGTCTTCGTTCGCCTTAGGTCTGTCTGTACGGAACTACGCTAGCTATTCAAATGAAGCCCAATCAATTTAGAGAGGCGACGCGTCTGACACGCGCACATGTTGCCACTTTTTTCTGTCCAACATTGCTCTTCACTAACTGTGGCCGACGAAAGAGCTATAATGAGAAATTCCCGTTATTAGCAAGCTTGCTGTTTTGTATGTGTTCGTAATGGACGCAGTTTTTTTTTTTTTTTTTTTTTTGAAGACTATGCGACTGGGCAAAGGATCGGGCGAGAGAAAAGTCAAGGTCGATGACACGACGCGCACCCATGTTCGCGCCACGCCATGCCATGCAATCAATTAAAGGGAGGAATGAGGCTGCCGCTGAAGTCACTTTGTCACTGTTCTAGACTTTCCATTTCCAGACGACCTCCTGTTCCAACGGCGCAAACCCCCCTATTAACGCAGAGAATGAGGTAGCACACACCCAGGGATCGATTTCGTCCACGGAGTCATACCGCAAAATGGTTTGCTTATTCCTTGTGTCCAGTAGTATTAGAAGCAAGCAATAAGGAAGTCTGCTTCGCCTGTTCTCTCGGCGTTGGAGGCCCAATACAATCAGGTGTATGTAAAGCTGGTGTTCTTTTCCAGGTTTACTAAGTGAATGGGGAGGGGGCCATCTCAACCCAAGCCAGAGACTCGCAGATCCCACGTACGACATTGACGGGGGCATTGAGGCCGACAAGGGCACATTTTGGGCCCCCCGGATATCCCATCGTGCCCATGTCATCTAATCCCACTGCGCGATGCGCATTGCCATTTAGCCCATACCCGGTACCCGCGCTGCTTTGCGCGTTGACGCGTGCGATGGGTGATTGATGGGAAAAGAGATGCCGATCCGCCTGACGGTGCTGGGGTTGTCACACACCTCGAACAAAGAAGCCGTCGACTCACCAGAGGAGGGTCAAAGCGAGATGGATGAGTCTTTGTGTGTTTGTCATACTGGATACACTGAATGAGAAGCTCATTAGTGAGCTGACTTGCGAATGATCGTGACTGGTGTGGACAGCTGTACGCGACGGGAGCTTTCTTAGCCATCGGACTTAGGACACCGGAGGCGATGCCGCCGAATTAAGACGAAGTGACTGGTTGGCTGGGTTTCCGGGGGGAGCGGGAACGTTCGCCTCGTCCGGACTGGTGTTGGATTCTGCCGCACTGATTCGTGGTGGCAACTCTATTGGCAAAGAAGGGGAAAAAAAAAAAAAAAAAGAACTGTAACCTGCCGTGCTGTTGCACGAATAAGACGAGTGAACTGAGCCGTTGCCTCCGTACCTAGTATTGGGATCTAGAAGTTGAGGAATGGCAAACTCCCTGGTGTTGATAACAATAGCAGCTACTCCTAGGTTGAGACTGCCCTCCTCTGGAAGTACGGCATTGCAAAAGAGCATACTAACCATGGGGAAAAGAAGGAGGGCAAAAAAAAAAAAAAAGAAAAAAGGATGAGGACAAATCGCACGTGTTAGTCTCTCTCCGACGCCGGGCAGCTGCAGGGGTACGAGCTCGGGCAGGGTAGGGGTGTTTGGGGTGGCCCTTGTCCAGCCTTGCTCGCCTCTTGTGTTCTGGCTCCTTGTTCGAGAGACCAGGGTCACTGTTTGAAACCGACATTCCGGACCAAGTTAAAATTTCCTCCTCCTCTTTGTACGGAGTCGAAGCGATTGTCGAAGTTGCCTGGAATCACTGTCTGTATCCGTACAAGGCAATAGGGAAGAAGGAATATGGAAGGCATTGTTACGGGTTGCCGGGTCAGGTACGCGTGCAGATTCTCGAGGCACGGCTGCAGAAGCTTCCAATAGTCGTGGCCACTGTTGCGCCCTTCCGATACTTAGGAAGAGTGGGAGAGCGAGCCAGAGACCGCGTTGACCGTGTTCGGGGGTATTGCATATATGTGTGTTTTGCTATATGTACAGCCGGTACCGTCACGGCAGGCGTCAGAGCTACATGTTGCAGAAGTAAGGTAGCTGATGGTTAGCTAGTGTGGTTGATGGCGTAGTGATGCAGGTGCACTCGTCACTTAAAGTAGGTTGGGTCTGAACATCTGAAGTGCATTCCACAGCCTGAGGCCCAGCCAAGTGCGAGTTTGGCATGGTAAACCCCCGATAGCAAGAAAACGGGACACCTCTCATCTTGCTAGGCTGGTGTTGCATGGCAAGAGGATGAAGCAGTTTGCAAGTGCAAGTGCAAACCCAACTCTACCCTACCACCTGCCTGCCTACCTTACCTAACATGCCTGGACGGATGATTCGCGGATCTGGAAGGAGCCCAACTGAAGGGTCGAGCCATCTCCGTCAGGAACCTTGGTTGTTCGGCTGTCTGAGAGCCTATCAACCGGCCCAGGCATCTGATAATGGCATTTTCACTCAACACCCTTTTCTCCAATTTCCAGCCGTGGAAACTCGAAAGACTTTGGATCTTCTCAAGAATGTGGCGGGAGGGCCTGTTCGACTCCACCCATTGGCATGCAAAGCTCGCACTTCCACACAGCCTGCCGCCAGGTGCCGAACACCGGAGTTCCACGATGATTTGTACAGCGACTCCGAGGCAGGCAGTTGGTCGGTTGGACGTTGTTGCGAGAGGACCCTATGGAAGCTGAGTGGGCAGGACGGGACTCAGGAGCAGTATCCGTACGGGGACAGAAAAAACAACGACAGGAAAAAAAAAAAAAAAAAAAAAGAGAAGAGGACAGAAAAGGGTCCTAGAGTTTGCTGCCCAGATTGTAAAAAGAACAAGGGTCTGGCCCCCAGCATCTCCATGAATAACCACATCTACTACCACTGTGGCACTGTGGCACTGTAACTCCTCCTTGTCGTATCCAAGCCCAGCCGGCGAGTGAGAACAACCTGAGGAAATAACCAGGAATTGACGTGGTGCGTGCCCTTCCGTAGTCTGTATCAGTCTCGTTGTATTTCCAAGTACCCCAAGCTAAGGTACGCTTGAGACTTGAGTCCGGCCCAGGTAGAACCGGAAGTTGGGGAAAGGCATGCAAGTAATCAGACCCAACACCCGGCGCGTCGGAGGGACGACAGTTGCAGAGCACTCTCCAAGCCATCTTCCACTAAGAGGGCCCTGATTAGGAAACTTGCCAACGTCAGGCCATCTTGGGATGATATCATGATTCGGGCGAGATGTTGATATGGAGTTGCAACCTTGGTACCACAAATACAAGATTTCAATCTTCCTCTTGACCTTTTTCCCGATTCCTCATACTGTAAAATATCTCGAACATGGTGAACTTGCGTGCAAATGAGAAACGAGAAAGGAAGCAGGGGCGAAGCAGCCAGCCACCTAGGCATTGTTTGTGCACTCTTTGTGCCCTCCTTACTCTAGGTGCCTACGTACCAATCCCTCTCTATACATCCAAGACAGGCTGACCCAAGGATACCTTACTACTTATGCACCTTCCTAGGCTTCGAAACACAAGACAAAGACAACATGTGGCTCAGTCAGGCAATAAAAATACACATGAGTACGAAGCAAGCTGGAGAAATGAGGCTGAATGAGATGGCTCTTTACTGACAGTGCCTCAACTTCATCACCAGGCTGGTGATGAATAATTGCTACGTCGGCCCGTGTCAGCTGCCCGACCAAGAGGGTTACGCCGCCAGAGTACCTTAGGTGGCAGAGCGATAGGCAAGTGACGGAAGTAAAGATAAATCAAAGGTCCCTTCCACTCCGGGTGGAATCCACACTGTCTTTTGTGCGTGGCAATTGCGGGTCCGATACCGTGTTGATAAGCGAGAGATTTGGTTACCAACGCACTGTCATCCCGCAAAAAAAAAAAAAAAAAAAGGATGGGTCGGGGCCTTCTTCACTGGGGTATGGATACCCGTAGAGGTTGGGACTCGGGAGGGAGCGTAAGGTAGGTAGGTGGTTCACTTCGCCTGAGTGAATGGGTATTAGGTCTTGCTTCAGTGAATTGATGCCAACACCCACGGGAGAAATGGTGAGATGAGGTAAGGTAGATAAATGATCAGCTATTCAAATAAACAGAGAATGGAACCCAAGACGGCTTCGGAGATATTTACCAAAGCCTCATTGCCTTCATCACTGATTTGGCAAGAGACTTTCATCTGTACCTGGAAGGTGAGGGTGAGGGCGAGCGAGGGCGAGGGCGGGCAAGTGAATGGAGAAAAAGGTCTGAGGCGGGTGTGGGCGCGGCGCGGGCTTATGATGAGGTACTTAACCCAATGTACCTTTTTCCTGGGTCCTTCCCTCCCACTCACACCCAGGTCCACGCCATATTATCTCGTCGCCCAAAATTTTTTTGATCGTTTCTTCTTCTAAACCTACCACAAACACCGAAACTGGTCCAGGTGGAATAATTTTTCCTTCACCAGAGAGACCCTTTCCGAATCGACAGTTTCTTCTGTAGCTCACCCTTCAGAAGACGACTCTCCCCTCCTCTGCAATACCCGCCGGTCAAAGGACACCTTTATTTGGTTTCTTCCAGGACCCGTTGCGTAGGCAGACATACCTTGTTGCCCCCCTCTCCACCCCCATCGCCTAGCGATATTTCCTTCCTGCCGTCAAGGAATCCACGAGCACTCACCCGCAACAACAAAAAAATCTCTCCTCCCGCATCCACCTTTTGGACCGAATCGACTTCGCACCCTCCGAAACGATCCGATCCATCTTTTTGCGAGGATTTTTTTCTCCTTCGAGTTCTTCTTGACACGGTCATTCATTTTTTTGAATTTCTGCGATCCGTCACCAAAACCGTACCCGAAATCGAATCAGTGATTCGGCATCCGAGCAATCGTCCCAGTTGCCGCACCTTCGACAACTACCCGACACCGACGTCAGCTTCGTTTCGACACGGTTCTTCATCAACGCTACTTTCTCCACGAACAGACGCGCTACGACGAGATTCCACATATGACTTCGACTGCCAGCCCTCAGTCCAACCCGGCGCCCACCCCCTCTGCTGCGACTTCGGCTCCTTCATATGCTTCCGCTGCCGGTGCGAACAAGAAGCAAGCCTCCACGCCGCTGATTGCGACGGGATCCAACCCACCTGTGGTGGTCGGTGGCTCCTCTGCGCAAAATGCAAAGCCGTCTGCTCCGTCACCAGTAAATGGACGTCCTCCTATCACACCTGCTGTGCCTGCTGCCCCTGCAGTCGCTCACGGCTCTTCCGCCAACAACATGAACGGAAGCGCACCCGATCACGCTCGCAAGAGCTCCGTTACCCTTAGCGCCAACGGCCCCAACAGCTTCGCTCCCAACGGCGGCCCCGTCGGTGGTGCAAAGCCCGGCATTCAGTTCGGATACAACTCTCCTGCTGTCGCGCACAGCACCCCTCAAGCTACCGCTGCTCCGATCCCCATTCCTGGATCCAACCAGAGAGTGCCTTCTCCCGCGCACTCTCCCTCTCCTATCCCCCAGCCCTCTGCTAGCGGTGGCCGCCCCCCTTCAGGCATGGCTCAGCCCAACGCGATGACCTTTGGCAGTCTCGGAAGCGATGGCGATGTAAGTGATATCAGCCCCGTCCTCTTCGGACACTGTGCTTGCGTTCGCGCCACTGACTTTCAATCTTCTTTTCAGCGCCACATGAGACAAGCCTCTACTCCCCAGAGCCAGGCCGCTCTTCCTGCGATGCCCGGCCAGCATATCCGACGCGAGTCCGGCGTTTCTCAGCACAGCGACGCCACTGGCCCTAACCAAGGCCCGGGCCGTGGAGGGTTCCAGCCCCAGGGCGGCCGTGGTCGTGGTTTCAACCCTCACCAGCCCCCGTACCAGGCCAACATGGGATTCCCCCCGAACCAACAGCAGTACAGAAACGGCCAGGGCCGCGGCGGTATGCCGCCTGCCTTCCACCCCGGAAGACCCATGCAACCCTACCCGAACTCGCCTCAGCCGGCCCGAAGCCCTGCTCTGGCCCATTCTCAGCCCGGCCATTCCCAGCCCGGAACCCCGAACATGCCCCCGGCGCAGATGCATCCCATGCCGATGCCAGCTCCCTCTCCTCAGTACTACCAGCAGGGCCCGCCCCCAAATGTAATTCCCCCTCCCTTTCAAGATCTTTCTGTTCCGTCGAATTTGGGTGCTGTTTTCGTTCCTTCTTTCAAGGGCAAAAAGAAGAATTTGAAGCACTGGGAGAAGTCTTCCCATGTGAAGTCGAGACAAGTCGAATTCTCGCATGACTTGCCATTCGACTCCAGCAGACCTCGGCGCCACAACAAGCATGGAGAGCAACTTTGGGCCGACCGCAACGGTTTGAACCCGAGTTACTGTACAGACTTGGGCGACTATGGCATCACTGAGCTGGCCTACGTATCGACTGAACCTAGTGGCTTTTGTCAAATCTCTCGTTCCCCAGTTCCCCCTATCGATCTCTCTCCTGAAAGCGGTAACTACGAAAGATTGCTAACTGAAACAAAGGCACAGTACGGCTACCCTCCCCAGGCAAACCACCAGTTCGACCAGTTTGGCCGACCCATCTACTACAACCAGATGGGATATATGCCCTCTCCCGGAGCGCCCCCGGCTTTCCAGCCTGGCTACGCCCCGCCTGCGTTCCACCAGCCTGCGCCGACTCCCATGTCACGCACCTCCTCTCACTCTGAGCGTCCCTCCTCTAGCACTGGCCAGCCGAACCAGCCTGTTGTTGTGTCTGGAACTCCCCAGCCTCAGAACGCACAAGTCAAGACCCCGGTTGTCGCGTCATCTGGCAACTTCGTTCGCCCCAAGAAGAGTGCCGCTATTGTCATCAAGAACGCTGCCGGCGAAGCGGTTGACTTCAAGAAGAGCATCAAGACTCCGTCGTCGCCTGCCCCTCCTATCGTCCAGCAGTCCAAGACTCCCCCATCGTTACCTCTACACCTACTCCTCCCCCTAAGTCCGCAACACCTTCCCACGCCCGCACAGATAGCCAGGCTACTCCCAAGACTCGTCAAGAGATTCAGGATGAGCTGAGAGCCAAGATACAGCAGGCCAAGGGTGGCGAGGACAAGGCGAAGGAAGAGGCCGATGCTAAGGCCAAGGCCGCCGATGAAGAGAAGAAGGCTGCCGAAGCCAAAGAAGAAGCCCGCAAGGCTGAGGAGAAGGCAAAGGAAGACGCTCGCAAGGCTGAGGAAGAAGCCGAAGCGAAGCGCAAGGCTGATGAGGAGGAGAAGGCCAAGGCCGCTGCCGCTGAGGAAGAGAAGAAGGCTGCTGAGGCCAAGGCCAAGGCGGAAGCCGAGAAGGCGGCTGAGAAGCCTGCCGAGAAGCCTGCTGCCGCTCCCGCTGATGAGGAGGACGAGATGGAGCGCATGATCCGCGAAATGGAGGAGGAAGATGCCCGTCGCGAGAAGGCTGCCGCCGAGTACGCCGCCAAGAAGCAAGCCGAGAAGGAGGCACAGAAGAAGCTTGACGAGGCAAACAAGGCTACCAACGCTGCTGAGGCTGACCGCAAGCTCCGTGAGGCCGAGCGCGAGATGGAGCGTCTCGAAGAGGAGAAGGAGAGAAAGCGTGCACAGGGCGGAAACACCCCTTCCGTCGCCGAGCTGCTCGCCGGAAAGACTGGTGACAGCGAGCCCGCAAAGGTTGGCGATGTTGCCGACAAGCTGTCCAACCTCAGCATTGGTGACTCCAAGGCTTCGACCCCTACCGAGGCTTCCGCTCCCAAGGCTACTCCCACCGAGAAGCGCGGCCCCAAGCCGTCACCTCTTAACTTGGCTCCCCTCAACACCAAGCCTGTTGAGCCGCCCCAGCCCAGCGCTGCTCTTCAGTCCCTGAAGTCTGCCCGATTCTTGACTGTCATGAACCAAGACCTGTACCCTGCTGGTATCAGCTCTCCCAACCCTGCCTTGAACGCTGCTGTTGCCAAGAAGGGCAAGACATTCAAGTACGATGCTCAGTTCCTGCTGCAGTTCCAGAAGGTCTTCACCGAGCAGCCTTCCACAGAGTTCCACCAGCAAGTCAAGTCTCTCATTGGCGACAACGATGGTTCTCGTTCTGCTTCTACCCCTCGTGCTGGTTCCGGTCGTGGTGGCTCCCAACGTGGCGCCGCTGCACCTCAAGTCGGTGCCATGGGCAGCTTCCGCGGCCCCTCTAACAACGTCCGCGGCACAACTTCTGCTGAACGGTTCGCTATGGCCAACGCAGCTATGGGCTCAGGTGGCGGCCCCGTTGGTAATATGGGCACTTTCCGCCAGTTCCCTGGTCCTCAGATGGTGAACCGAACACCCTCTTCCTCCAACATGGGACCCAACTCCCCCCGAACCCGTTCTGCCAGAGGTGGTGGCAGCAGGCGTAACGACTACAACGCCAAGGATGCGCAGGCGGCCAAGACCATGCCTCTTACGGCTGGCATGGAGCTCAAGCCCATCACTGTTTCCGCTTCAGGCTGGAAGCCTACCAGTGTTGGCAAGGGTCCCTCAGCATCTGGTCCTACTCCTGGCGGCGACCACATGGATCCTCAGATGGTTCAGCGCAAGGTCAAGGCTGCTCTCAACAAGATGACTCCGGAGAAGTTCGACAAGATTGCCGATCAGATTCTGGCCATCGCGGGCCAGTCCAAGGACGAGTCCGATGGCCGTACTCTCCGCCAGGTTATTCAGCTGACCTTCGAGAAGGCCACCGACGAGGCCCACTGGGCTTCCATGTACGCCAAGTTCTGCAAGCGTATGCTTGACACGATGAGCCCTGAGATCCGTGATGAGAACATCAAGGACAAGAACGGTGTCGTTGTTAGCGGAGGTGCCTTGTTCCGCAAGTACCTCCTCAACCGTTGTCAGGAGGAGTTCGAGCGCGGCTGGAAGGTCAACCTGCCCGCTAAGCCCGAGGAAGACGAGGGCAAGCCCCAAACGAACGAGGCCGCCATGCTTTCCGACGAGTACTACATTGCCGCTGCCGCCAAGCGTCGTGGTCTTGGTCTCGTCCAATTCATTGGTGAGCTGTACAAGCTTGGCATGTTGACGGAGCGCATCATGCACGAGTGTGTTCGCAAGCTTGTCGACTACGAGGGTATCCCCGACGAGGCTGAGATAGAGTCTCTCTCCAAGTTGTTGAGAACCATTGGTAACAACCTTGACGCTTCGGAGAAGGGCAAGGCCTTGATGAACGTCTACTTCGACCGCATCCAGCACATGATGGACATGCCTGAGCTTCCCAGCAGATTGAAGTTCATGCTCTTGGACGTCGTCGACCTTCGCAAGGCTGGCTGGGCTTCTAAGGAGGCCAACAAGGGTCCCAAGACTCTTGATGAGATTCGCGCAGAGGTATGATCACCCACCCCCAATCCTGCCAAAATACCATTTACTAACTCCTTATGTAGGCTGAGGCAGCTGCTGCCCAGAAGGCAATGGAGAACCAGCGCGGCGGCAGCCAACGCGGTCCCGGCGGCCGCCCCAATGTCGGCCGTGGTGATTCTCGCAACTTCTCCTCTGGCTACATGCAGGCCCAGTCCAACCAAGTCGGTATGGACGACTTGCGCCGCCTGAAGGGCTCGACGAGCAGAGCTGCCAGTGGCAATATCTCTCTTGGTCCCACCTCCATGTTCAGCTCTCGCAGCAACAGCGGACGCAGACTCGGACCTGGCGGCTCTCTTGGCCGCCCTGGCGAGGACTCTGGTGCTTCATCCCGCACCGGCACTCCCCCCACCACCCAACATCAAAACGCCTTCAGGTAAGCTATTCCACGCATTTGGAAATTGTTTTAGTCCATAACTAACCATAACGATAGTGCACTCGCCAACTTGGACAGCGAAACCCCGGCTTCTCCTCCTTCGACTGCTGCCTCTCCTGCACTGTCCAAGGCTGTTCCCGACAGCTCCGCTGCCGAGAGCAAATGAGAGTAGCCGAGTATTTCCTTTTCCAATAAGTCATTGCATTTAAGCAAATAGACAGGGGGCGGGGGCTGTTTGGTGCATTTACACAGAGGGCTTTCAGAGTTCGTGTTTCAAAAGTTACCCTGATCTTTGCTGCGGACCATGATACCTCGAAAGAATACCGACATAGACGATTCACACTGAGATAACCTCTCACCAGGAAGAGAGGTTCTCCATTTTCGGACTCCGGATGTTTCATTTTCTACATTCGGCCCTCTTCAACCCGATCGCATCAATTTCATGATGCGCTCAAACACAAGACACACACCGTGTTTTATTCCTTTTCTAATACGAGTTCACGACGCTTTATGGGTCTTCTTCTACGTGCCTGGCTACATGGGGAGCTGTGGCTAGGAAATGGTTGAATGCAGACAGGCCAGACGTACGAAGGAAGAGACGACCCCGGGAGAGTCCATCCAGCAACGGAGAGCTCATGCGCACGTTATGAGAGTGCGCGAATTTGCTCTTTACAAGGCGGGACATCAAAAAGCATACGCAGGAGCGTCGGCAAGGTCGTGATCCTGTTCCGAATGCAAAAAGGGGATTTAGGGATTTGTTCAGAAGAGGATTTTCGTCTTTTTTCATCCTTTTGGCATTGGCTTGGTCATCGCTGGCAGGTCTCTCGACGTCACAAACACTTTTTGGGCGTGGTTCCCGGTCATGGGAGGGAGTGGACTGGTCCAGCACCCATCTCTGTCCACTACGAAGGCAGAGAGGTGCTCGGTGGAAGAGCCAGGACTAGGGGTTTCAGGTCACTGGTCGCCAACAGTAGCTTGTTCCTTTGGTCTAGGCATCTTCGCTGGCGAAAAAGGACTGGTGAGGGGATAATCGACCGGGCGTGGAGGGACCTAATGCTTTCTCTGACTTTGTACATTTAATTCGGCAGCGAGCTTGCCAGTGGACCTAGCCCTAAAAAAGAAGAGACTACATAGTTCACAACCTTTCTTGTGTTCATAACATGTAACCGTGTATTTGTATGTGATTACAGTTCATCATGGAAACAGGCCAAAACGGCCCGTAGTGGTGAGTATCCGATCGACTCTCTGGTCCGCCTATCCGTTCAACTTGGCTATCACCGTCTACCATGTCACAGTGTTGATGAATGGGAACGCGGGAAAGCAGTCGTTGACATTGAACTTGTAATGTCCAGGGCACGAAGGTCACGAATTACATATGCAGTGGCAGGAAGGAAAATGTTGTACGAACAACCGCTTTGAAATAATATTAGCGATGTTTCCTACATCAACAACAAAACATGTTCAGAGGCTAGGTTTGCCCGCCTCGATTTCCCCAAGTCCAACCACAAACTCCGAGCTCCTCCCAAAGTCATCATCATCCTCCTCTAAAAGCAAGTTCAAATACCCGGTCACAACTTAGAGGCCAGCCCCCGAATCAACTCCCCAGAATCTTCCGTCATGTCCAAAACTTCCCATCCTAATCATGATCAGCCTATCCTTCGTCTGCAAGCTCCGTGTGGTGGCAAGTCGCCTCATGCTGCAGCAAGAAGCTTATTGAAGCCCAGCTTGGCAAACAGGGTGTCCATGGCGACCCATTGTCTACCGCACTTGTCGAGATACTTGTCCACCACGCCCTTGACAGTGCCAAATCGAACGCGGTTGTGCTCCGCCATCGCCAAAACCTTATCCTTGTGTTCGCGTGGAATGTCGCTCCCACTCTCCGCAGAAGCCTTGGTTTTGGCCTTATCGACGTCCCAGAGACTAGCGTAGTACACGAGCTGGTTGTAAATCGCCTTCTCGGTGTACTCGTAGCGCATGCGACCAAGGCAATCCCGTGCAAGGCCCTTGGGGCCTAGACAGCGTGTGCCGTAGACGTTCATTTGGCGGGTGCGCATGCCGCAGGCGGAATCATCGCAGATCAGCCAGCCCTCGTAGTAGCGTGCCGTCTGAGTTCGGAGGGCATGTTCGAGCTGGGCTACGATCGAGAGCGTTGAGATGGTGGCGCCGCAAGAGTCGCAAAGCACCCCTGATGCCGAGACGCGGTCAGGCTGTGCGAGCAGACCCTCGAACACAGAAGTCTTCTTGCATGCCCTGCAGCGCAGGGAGAGACGGGCACATTCGGCGAAACGCACTTCGTCGGGAATTTGTGACTCCATGGGGTGAATCTCAACATCGTTGCCGCCCCCACCTTGTTGCTGGTCCTGGACTGACTTGTACCTGCGGATGTCCAAGCCAAGGCACTCTGCAAGCTGAGAGCTTGAGGTTCCAACAATGTTCGCGCAGAGACGCTCGACTGGGGGGAAGATTTGCTTGCCAAGGTACCACTCGACATCCGGAGAGAGGCCGGAGTCGGCCTTCATGACATCTGGTGGAGAATAGGCTCTCTTCGGGGCAGGGTCGGAGCTCTGAGGATCGCCAGTGATGACATAGGAGATAACATCGCCACGGCGTACGTTCCTGCCTTTGGCAATTTCCCTCAAAGCAACTTGGACCTGGGGCATAGAGTCTGCGTTGGGATATTCTGTGGGGGCCTTGCCGAGCTGTGTGAAGATGATGTACTTCTGCACCGGAATAGCTTGCTCACGCATCTTACCAGAGATCTCTCTGAGGTATTCGTGAATGCGCGAGATCGACTTTTCGGTTTCATTGCCCGACAGAATCTCGTCAAGGATCTTGCTCGAGATTTCCTTGGACAGACCACAGTACTCACGACGCTTCATGTCGAGACCCTTGACTTCCATCTTCTCGATGAACTTGCCATCCTTTTCGACCAAATTGATAGCAGCGTACTTCTTCTTGGCCTGGAGCAAGATTCGGCGGAAAACGTTGTCAATGTCGATCTCCAAGAGTCTGTACCGTTCGTTGACGGCCTTCTTGAACTCTTGACCGACCTTGAAGGCATCGGACACATTCTCGACATTGGCGTTGATCATGACGGAATCGGTGTCTCCATAGATGACCTGGAGCTGGTTGCTCTCGGCGAGCTCCTTGGTGCTGCGCAAAATCTCACGACCCTTGTACGTAGTTAAGACGGCAAGAGGGCGCGCGTAGAAACGGGACTTGGTGTAGCCCAAGCATCCGTACATGGAGTTGGCCGTAAGTTTCAGCGCCAGCTGCTTGATATCCCAGGTGGCGAGCTGTTCTGGGGTTGCACTCTTGTCTTTCATCAAGGACTTGACTTGCTTTCTTCGGCCAACAAGTGTAGCAATGAGTCTGGGCAAGATGCCTTGCTCCTGATCCTTAGGAACCTCTGGCACAGCTTCGTCGTCTTGCTCCTGTTGCCTGAGTTAGCATCTGGTCTTGTTGGAGGGGAACGAAACGAATATGCATACCATAGTAGATCTATCCACAGTCGTGAAACAAATGTTGTACTCCTGGATGATGGAAGGGTACAGAGAGTTAAAGTCCATGACCAGGACGAACTTGTCGTAAAGGCCTTTCTCGGGCTCGAAAACGAGACCACCCTTGTATTTGTCCTTCTTTTTGCCGTCGCCCTCTTCGGCCTCATTTTCTTCCTGGGCCATTCTCCCCCTGAAAGTCTGCTTATCAGGGCAAATGTACTTATTGCGGTGGAACTCGTGCAACAGAATGTACTCGTTGCGCTCGGCGCGAGTTCCAGTGAGGGTTCTCGCCCATGAGTTACCGGCCAAGTTGGTGAGGACCTTAGTCAAGGGAAGAAGCTGAACCTGTAAAGCGAGTGCAGTGATGAAGTGGGTATCAGCCTCCATGTGTGAGACGTAGTTCATCATACCATCCTTGGACTGGGTTGCCCATGTCTTGAGCGCAGCTTCATTGTCGATGTCCTGTCTGCGGTTATTACCCGGCAGGTACAGACTGCACATTTCTGTCAAACTCCAAGATTGACACTTGAACATGGCAGACTTTCCAGCATCGTTGGCCAGGTCGCAAAGCAAACGACCAGCCATGATTTGCCTCTCAGCGAAGACATTGCCACCAACCTTGTTCATGGACGCTGGCCATTGCGTTCGCTTGAGTCGACCGAGCCGAGACCACTGGTGTGTCTTCTTCTCGTGAAGACGGTTGAGCAAAACGCTGTAATCGACTCCCTCCAACTGATGTCCAAGAATTACGTCTGGATCCACGACATCCAGCTGAGCAAGGAAGAACATGAGGATTTCTGACTCTTGGCGGAAGGTCTTGATGAGGCCTCTCTTCCTATCCTTTGCCATATTTTCAAATCCGAGGGGGAACGCTGTCCCATGAGGACGGATGAGGGTGAATGTTCGGCAGGGAAGCTTCTCGGCCGGAGTTGGATCAGCCAAGGAAGCCTTTTCGTAGATTCGAGCGCTGATTGCGAGAATTTCTTGCTTGTTGGCCTTAGGGTTGAAGGCGGTCCGCAACGCGATACTCATCAAGGTCAGGGGAGGTGTATCGAGGTTGTCAGAGTCGCTGAGCGTCGAGACCATGTTGGGGTGCTCGACGAGTACTTCAAGCTTGCAGTGAGAGGCGTTCTTGAGGGCACCAAAGTCGGCATCGGTAATCTTCAGCCAGCAGGGGCCCATGATGTTCTTCCACAGCACGAATTGCTCGAATAGAGCCGTGTTTGTGCCGAAGACACGCGAGAATGTATCTCCAGTAGTCGTACTGTCAATGACAGGCTTTGTGTAGGGATAGAGACACTTCAAGTACTGAGCCTCTTTGGGAATGCCTGGAAGCTCGAATGCGTACTTTCTTGTGCATGGCTTGATCTTGAACATGCCAACGTTCATCTTGGTCATGAGAGCATCAATCTCAGAGTAGACGTCCATCATCTCGACTTCCTCGCCTGTCTCTTCTCCGCCCTCGACTTTGGTCTCGCGGGGAAGGAAAAAGAGCTTGCGGAGAATGTTGTCGACCTTGACGAAGCAGCTGACATACAAGCCAGTCTTCTTGTTCAAAACCTTGCCAAAGAGGCAGAGACTGCCATTGACCTCGGTGTAGTCAGTCCAGAACATGTTGAGACTGCCGTCCTCCTCGATAGCATCCTTATAGTCTATCTTGCCGACGGTTCTAGCCTCCGCAGGAGAGCTTGAGACAACGTTGAGCTGGTCGGTAATGTTGTTCCATGCTGACGAGTCGACTGATGGGGCGGCGGGCTTGACCGGGGAAGAGCTCAAAGGCGTAGGGTAGGGATCGGGCTTGATAAGTTTCTTCGGTGGTCTTGACCCTGTGATGTTGACACTAGCAGCAGTGACCGCACCAGCGTGGGCAACCTCCATCATATCATCGTCTTCCTCCTCTAGGGGCTCCGGCTTGACCATTGCTTTGCGCTGGGCCACTTTAGCGGCAGGTGATGATGGCGCGGGGTCTTCGGACATGGGAACATCGTCCACAGTGATCGGGGCGGGGCTATCATCTCTGTCGTCGCCCATAGGGGGCAAATAGCCATCATCGACTGCTGAGTTGTCGAAAGTAGGAGACGATAGTCTGTCATCCACAGTCTTGGTTCTCTTGGTAAGGCGCGTCCTGGTCTCGGGGGCGGGAGAAAGCACACGGGTTCGGCGACGCTCGGGGGATCTGTTACGTTTGGCTGACCGGGACGCAGGAGCGGGGATGTTGGCGTCCACCTCTCCCAGGAGATCGAGAAGGAAATCGTCGTCTTCTTTCGTTTTGGCGACCTATGGCTGATATTAGCACAATGTTTCTCTCCTTTTTGGGAGCATCTGACGAACCTTTGGCTTGGCTTGTGTCTTGGTAGTACCCTTTGTGAAGTATTCGCTAATGTCTCTGTCGTTGGCATCTCGCTTGGCCGCTTCTTCTTCGCGCTGCTTTTTTGCTACTGGGTGTCAGTATGATAGATCTCGCAAGGATATGGATTGGATAGTCTTCTTACAGGCTTTGCTTGGCCTACCACGGCCCTTCACTGGCATATCCTCATCGCTTTCCGAGTAGTATTGGGGCTGGCGATCCCACTCCTCCCGGCCATCGTCGGCATATCCCTCGCCATTGTCGTCAACGACGAAATCGTCTTGATCCAGACGATCTCTAATGATCTTCTTGTATTGGTTCTCGTCAACCTCTTCGTAAAGCTCGTCGACCTCCTCGACCTCGTAGTTGGCTCTCTTGCCGGACGCTCGCAGAGCTCGAAGCTCAGCCAGCTTTGAGCGTCTGTCGACCTTAGGCATGGTGGGCAGGACAGGTGTGTCGAGTGCACAAGGGAAAAATCAAGTTCTCGAATGGACACTCAATTCATCGTATAGAGCAAGGAATTATTCGGCACCGGCGACAGGTACTGAAAGATTTGGCGTGTTGAACTGTGTTTGTATCGAGGAACGGAGTAGGCCTGTTGTGGGTGGGATAACACAAAGCACGGGATTCATGTGCACTATAATTTGGTCGTTCAGCCAGGGGCGGCGCGAGATGAAAGTCGCGTTCGTGTTTGGCGACGCGTTTTTTGCTTAATTGCCATCAGGCCAATTGGTCGAGTCTGCGCTAGACACAGCAAAGTGGGGGCAATCGTAAAAGGCCCGCCCCGCAACCAACGTCAATGTTCTGCGCGACACGCTAAGCCACCTCATGCAGGACACCCCCAAGACGCAGGCACAGGCATGGAGGCAAGCTCCCCGATAAGATAAGAGAGCTTGGGCAGTTGGTCGCAAAATTTCCCGGAGGCGCTTTCATGATTGAAGGAGGTCTTCGTGGAAAGCTCCAGCACTACATAACCTTCCGCCACAAAAGACCCTCGAGAATGCTATCCTGCAAAGCCTGCCTTACACGGGCGCTTCAGCCCTTATCGGGGAAGGCCTCCTTTTCCGAACTATCGTCTACTTTACCCATGCTACAACATGGGCCCTCCGGCAGCCAACGCCGACTTGCCCATAGAAAGGCAACACCCACGACTGCCGCAGGCCGGGCGTTTTTGAAAGAAGGAAAGGAAATAGAAAAGGACACCCACGGCGGCAGCGAGGAATTCGCAGAAAAGAGACGGAAACAGAAGCTCGACTGGGCTGTGTCGAAACATCTTGAGCACCTGGAAAACCCCTTCAACATCGCCAAGCACGTCGAGGCCACACTCCAGAAGGGTCGTTTTGATGAGGCACTTCTCCTTGTCCAGCGCGCCAGCGCCAAGGATACCGACCTCGTCGTGGCCTGGAACCACCTCATCAAGTACCAAATCATGGAGTTGAAGCGAGTCAACTTTGCCATCAGTCTCTTCAACGACATGAAGAAGCGCGGCCAGTCGCCTAACGAACAAACCTTTACCATCATCTTCACCGGCTGTGCAAAGTCCCGCGAACCGAAATCTGCCAGTGCCAAGGCCCTGACTCTGTACAAAACGATGCTCAAGGAGGACGCAAAGATCAAGCCTAACTCGATACATGTCAATGCCGTAATCCAGTGCTGCGGCCGCGCAGGCGATGTCGAAAACATGTTCACGCTGGCCGACTCGGCCGATGCCAAATCAGGCCGCAAGAATACTGCTTACACGTACACGGCCATCATCAACACTCTACGCGCAGAGGCTGAGAACCAGGACAATCGCAAAGGGCAGTCTCTCCAACAGCACATCGATACGGTGGAGCAAACGATCACGCGATGCAAGCATATATGGGAGGAGGTCATGCGCAACTGGCGTAACGGCAAGCTGGAGATCGACGAGGACCTGGTGTGCGCCATGGGTCGTGTTCTTCTCCTCGGAGGCAGTAAGGATAGAGGCAAGATTCTCACCATGCTCGAAGAGACCATGAGCGTCCGGAACTACAACCGCACGCCCACGGGCGACTACGCACACCGCATCAATGACGAGATGAAGGGCATCAGCGCGACCGGTAGCGCAAAGCGCAAAGCCACAGTCCTCTCGCCAAAGATCAAATATGCCGTGCCGCGGGCCAACACCCTATCCCTCGTCCTCGCCATCGTTCGCGAGCAAAAACAGACCAAGCTGGCCGTGAAATACTGGGACCTCTTTGTCCATTATTACGGCGTCAACCCCGACACAGACAACTACCACCAAATGATCCGTCTCTACGAGCGCAGCGGCTCAAGCAAAGACGCCGCGAAGGCTGTACAGCAAATGCCCTCTGACAAACCTGTCCCTCCTATCGTCTACCGCCGCGCCCTTTCCGCCTGCATCAACAACAACATGAGCCAAAACGCATTCTCCGACGCCACGTCCATCCTGAACACGATGCTCGCCCACGGCGCCGCTCAGAAAACCCCCGTGGACGTGCGCGCCCTCCTCATCTACATGAAGGCCGCCATCATCTGCCACTTTAACTTCCGCCAGATGGACAAGGCGGGCGACACCAAGGGCGCGAAGCGCGGCTACTGCCAGCAACTCGCCGCCGCTGTGGAGAATCTCTGGCAACCCTTTTCCGCAGCCAAGGAGGCCTTGATCAAGTCCCAGGGCAAAAACGTGGCCCGGAAACGCGCCGAAGCTGTCGAGGACCTTGCTGACCTTGCGCGCAAGATGATTAGTGCCGTCGACAAGGTCGTCAACGAGAAAGCTCTTGCTCCCGACGAGGAGGCGTTCATCAGCCTCAAGGAGAAGCGAAGCAAGCTGAACCGGTTCGCGGTCGAGTTTACCGACCCGAACCAACGTATAGAGGATACTACGCCCGCAAAGAAGGACGAACAGGAGATGTTGGACTTGTAAAACATCAATGTCATGAACTGTACACTACCATGTAAAAACAATGTCTGAGCCATATATACCTGAGATATATATAGAACGACTCAAGCCTCGTCACATCCATAGAACAATACCCCAATCCCAATGCACATTTCTGAGCTTCAACCATGATCCGACGCCGTTCGTCGAAGACGCCCCAAGCTGCAAAACAGAAGAAGAAAATGAAACTCCACTGAGGGAGAAGGGGGGGGGGGGATGGCAAAGTCTCTTTGATCTATTAGTACACACGCCTCCCTGGATGGTGGAGAGATCTGCGCCCTCTCGAAAAAGAACCTTTCCCCTCCTTGCCAAGAGATCCCACCCTCGATTTGTAAATTCTCGCCCCCTTTTACGAGCCGAATCAACATACACATGAAGTCGCCTAGGTCTTTTTCGACCCTGTCCCAAGCCCGCTCTTGAAAATTCAGCGCCCAAGTAGAAACTCCCCGCATTTGTAGTGTGAATAGGAATGTCTTGTTTAGTGTGTGTGCCTCCGTCATAATTTACCGTCTAGCACGGACCGGAAATGTTTCTCATCGTGTCATCTCGCCCCCTCCCTTCATCGCCTGCCGCCGCGGTTGAAGTTACGTCCTCGACGGTTGTTGTTACTATTGCTATTGTTGCCGGACTTGCGAACGAGGTCGTCGCTGTACAATCCGCCGCTGTCCTCCTGCATGGCCTCGGGGAATCCGTTCATGCCGTCGACGAAGTTGCTCGATGTCGAACGGGGGTTCGCGGGTCGCGTAGTGGGCTCCTTGTAGCCGCCGGGCTTGGGGTAGACTTTGATGATGCGTCCATCGGCCTATAGTCACCCTTAGGTCAGTAAATGAACTCAAAACTGTGCCCATCGTCGCCTCATTCATAGCAGGCTCTTCATTCATAGCAGGCTCTCGAGAGAAAGGGAAAGAGGTGATTCTTACCGTCTGGTTGTTAAACGTAGAAATGACCGCATCACCACCCTCCTTCGTCGCAAAGACCATCTCCGCCAGAATCAGAGGCGTCGTCTTGATGATCCGGCAATCCAGCATCTCCCCGCCGACGGGCGTCATCGCGCTCTCGATATCCGCCGCCGTCGTACCCGGCGCAAAGTTCTGCGCCATCACCGCAAACGGTCCCGCCAGCCCTCTGATAGAGAGGCCCTGCTTGATCGCCGGTCCCGTGGGCACCACGTTCGCGACAGAGGTCATCTGCACGTCGGCCATGGCGCCCGAGCGCTCAATCGCCGCAGCCACCCTCGCTGCCTTCTGCTCGGCGCGTCGTCTGTTGTTGTTGCCGTTGCCGGTTGATGCTGCGGTGGGCGCGGACCTTCCTCCTCCTGGCGCAGAGATGCGCGCCGCGAGGCCGCCTGCCCCGGCGCTGTTGCCGTTGTTGTTTCGTCCTCTACCGCCGCTGCCGCCGCCATTCACCGTTCCATGGAGGTCATGTGTCCAGTCGCCATCGATGTTGCCAGCGGGAAGGGCCTTGGGACCAAGGGATGCGGTGCGCGGCTGATTGCGGGTGGAAAAGAACGTTAGCGAACGCTCGCTCATCGGTTTGCTTCAAGCTAGGAACCAACGACGAGATGAGTTGAATGCGTACCTTCTTTGTGATGCCGACTCGGCTCGCCAGCGACGGCCCTGCACCGGGCTTGAGCTTTGAAGGCGCGCTCTGCCGTCTATCCTTGGAGAAGATCTTCTGTGCCAGCGCCTCGTTCTTCTTCCTCTCTCGTCCTGCGAAGCGAAGCAACATATCCCGCCGGTCAGCGATCCGTTCAATGTGGGCGGCGTCCAATTACGTAGTAAGGAAAAAGGCTCTACCTTGTTGGATGATCTTCTCAAAGTCGGTTGCTACCTTCGCCATGTTGATTGATCTCCTGGGCAAACAGCTTCGGGCGAGGAGGGATGGAATGAGGTTAAGTGTGCTGGTCGCAAAGGTCGAAAATGTAGGGGTGTCGGCGAGACACGTATGGGTACGAGATCGAAGGTGAAAAGGGTGATCGGGTGCCCGAAAGGAGTGAGGAAGAGACTGCCTCAGGTAGAATTCTGGGGTCGCGAATAGGTTCGTGGCTGTCAAAAAGACACTTTGATTCGAGAAAGGCGGGCAAAGACAAGTCGGAGAATGGATGAAATACCTTGTCCAGACCCTGACTAGCATGGGACAGGCGTAATAACTTGAGGCTGACCTGGGCGCGTTGGTTTAGGTACCTACTCCAAAGGGCCATGGCCCATGAGAGCGTGTTCCAGGGGTCTCCACTCGATTGGACTGTTCGGTACGTACTCTCTCATGGGGCCGTCTGGAGTCGGAGCTCCCAGCCTAAGCCACTGCATCCACGGCACTCACGGGTGTGGCTTTTACTTTTTGGACGTTCAACGCCAACATTGAACCAGGGTATTACTTTGTTGTGGTTTGACCATTACCTTACAAAGAGCCACCATATCCGGGGTTTAAAGACTACCTACTAGACCCCTCAGTGCCTTTCCCATGTCTATAAACGAAGAGTCGAGCTGATTAAAGAAAAAAGGCGAAAACCAAAAAGTCAGGAAACCTCAGACCGCCTATCACACTTAAACTTCATCCACATCACTGTAGCCCCCATAAACGTCCCAGCTGCCCCCGTCGTAATACACCGATGTCTCAAGCCGGCTTTCAGGGCCACTGATTGGGTCACCAGGGAAGGCCAACTTCCGCATTTGATCGTAGGAATGGTTCAGAAAAGAAATATCCATTTGCTTGATGAACGTCATGTTTTTTGTCTTTCTCCTTCGGAGCTCTGAGCCACCTGGATCAACGCGCAGGCCGCTGGTGTCATTGCAAGTGATAGTCCTGTCTTTGCCATCGGGGTTGGCATGCTGGCGTTCAACTGCTGTGTTGAGGAGAGGATTCATGACCAAAGCGTTCATTGAGGTAACTCGAGGTTTGGAAACATAGTCCGGCGGGTAGATAATGCTGTATTCGTTTTTCTTCGTAGACTCGAGTTCTAGGGCCATATCCGGAACCACAGCGAGCCAGCCTGTGTCCATCGTCTCTCTATGAATTTCGCGAGTCATTGTCGAGTTATCCGTTACTGGAATAGCGCTCCTCGACAGCCATTCGCCGTATTTCTGCTTGGTCTCAGTCTTACCTTCGCTCACGTTGCGTGGTAACGATAGGCATTGTTGGGGTTGTCTGTCGTTTAACTGTTTGCGAATCAGGGTTGTGCCTGGAACATTGTCTTTCTCCAGTCCAGCTACAGTAGTATCGCTCTCCCAGTCTTCCCTGCGTAAAGTATCAGCATTTATTCCATGGGAGGTAATGCCTCTACCATCTTGCGAGGCAAGCTTCATCGATGTCCGCATCGTTGCGGTAGGATAGAAAGGTCCATACTTGCCGGAAATCTGAGCGTATGATCTCAATATGTGCTCTCTCGTTGATCGTTCAAACTCGGTCTTCTCAATTGGAGTGTTCGCGGCGTCTCGAAAGGTTACCTCGTTGATTCTCGGGCCAGTCGCCTCTGTGCTGGCAATGGCATCCCGAGAGTCGGACTCGGTAGGAAACCTGCTCAGCGCGGTGTTCACCACGGGTATAATTCTGTTGGACATCTCGACCGGGAAGACAGTGGAGGGTGCATCAGTCGCCTCGGTATTTACCGCAGGTAGAATTCTGTTGGACATCTCAGGTTGGACGACAGCGAAGGTCGAACCATTCGCCATGACGCTCGCAGCCATGCTACCAGATTCCGCCTTCAACGCTTCGTTGGCATGCTCAAGCGGTCTTTTCGCCTCGGCTGGTTGCGGTGTTCCAGACCCCGAGTGCGTATGCTGATCAGTAGAGGATGGCATTGACGCCTGCTTTTGCTTGCTATTTTCCTTGTCCAAGGCCGATGTGATGAAATTCAGATCTGCTGCTGCCGAGGCGTCTACCAGGAGATTTTTGAGATCCAAGAACCTAGGCTGCTTGGCCAAAGCCAATGCTGATAGCGACACATCGGGAATTCGTTTCTCAAGGGCATCTCCTAGATCAAGGGAAGGGGGCTGACCATCTCCCGTCTGTATTTCCAGTAATTGTGGCGTATGCTTCCCTGGGCAAATCGGCGGTTGCACCGTGGGTGGCTCTCCGGTGATGATCACACACTCTTTCCCAAAGTTTCCTGATGCCCGCACCTTCGGCAGCTCAGGAGCGACGAGCGAGGCAGATGGGAAACTGTCATGGACTGGCTTCTCTACGTCAGACCCCACAAAGGCCGTGAGAGCCTCCTCGGACTTGATGTATCTCTTGAGCGTTTTTCGGCTGCTGGTACCAAATATGTTTCCGAGGCTTCGGCGTTTGAACAAACCTAAAAGCAAAGGAAATCAGCATGCAAGAGAAGACAACCAAGGAGTGCCTGGGTTTCCATCGAACCTTTCTTCCTCTGGGACAACGTGATATCGTCCTTGCTAGTTGCAGATTTGTTCATCTGATGCTGCTCACTTTCGTCGGTCTGCGAATCCGACTGACTTGTTGAGGAGTTAAGAGTTGACCTGGCATCCTGTGCTTTCGAAGCATCTATTTTGCTGAAGGTCGGCATACGAGAGACAGTTTTGTGCCACAAGTTGCTCAAGGAGGCGCGGTGCCTGTTTCTTGTGCTGCCGTCGCGTTTGAGACTGGGCTCCGAATCGGAACTTGCTTGCACTGAAGACAAGTCTTTCGTCGAGGTGACTTTCGAGCGGCGTTTGGCTTGAGGTCTCGAGAAGGGTTTGGGACCAACAGCATCCCTCTGCTTCGTTACCAAGAGAGGATGCGCCATGACTGACTATCGTGGGGGACGTCGACCAAGAAATTTGGGGATGCTTTGAGGTAACAGCAGCCTTGGGTTTGAGGAGTGGCCCCGCTGTGAGTAGATGCTAGATTGTAAAAGCAACAGAGAAATCCAAAGAATCAAAGGTTTTTGTCTTAGCAATGGGTGCCAAAGCTGGGTGAGCAATGATGGTGGTGGTTGAGGAGTAGAATGCGAATGCGAAGATGTTGAACAACAAGAAGGGACTGATTCCAATCCTTTCCGCAACCTTATGGAAGGCGAGAGTGATACCTAGTCAGCAACTTCCGCGTCATAATAGAACATGGGTGAGAAGCGAATATAGAAGGTCCCATTCAATGGAAGCACCCAACAAGGAATACATGCATACACGTAGGGGTCATTGTGCCCGTACTTCCCAGAATGCACAAGAACTCCGGCAATATCGTACTGAAGAGACCACATCACCAGCCCCTTCCTCAGGCTGGGAGTTGCTGAGAGCCATACAAGTGTGGAGTAAAAATCTGGTATCTTGAACATTGATTGAGTAGGCACACATGATCAGGTCAGCAACTTCTTGCCCCTTTGACATCATTGTCACTTCCACATTAGTCAAACAACTTGCAAAGCCAACCTGCTGTATCCGGAACCCTGTTAACCTTAGGAACAAAGGTAGGTAGGTAAGTAGTTAGGAACGGTGTGTGAAGAGGACGTGATCTCGTATGTCGTTGCTGGCCGTCGAGCCCTTCCTTTACTTTCCTCCACCGTCAAGGCCGCCATCCCCACCAACCCAGTATTGTCCGCCAGTTTCCTCTCATGCATCATCCCATCAAAGCTCCCATATCTGTGTATGTTTCGTCGTCGTTCTGATCTAGCCCGGCTTTGAACCTCGTCTTCTTCAGATGGCCCCCTGCAACAGGTCTCCCTTGTCGGGGCCATCGGGTATCTTCATCGTCCAATTGCCACCATGCGTTCAGGGGTTGCACTGCTGTAGTCGACCTGGCGCAAGCGAATGCCGTAGCACCGATCTCTGGGCTGTCCTCACTTCACCTCCCATAGTCTCCTGTCAGGGATAGACTGATAACCCAAGGCTGCGAAGAAGTTTCAATGCGCACTTCAAATCACTTTGATCAAAGGTCGCCCAGCCATCAGTGCCAGGGATTCTGGCTCCCCATGAAGCCTTCTTCGAGCGTTCGCTCCTCAAGGTTGCGAATGAAGTCTCGGTTTCCTCTTCCTCCTCCTTGCTGTGCACGACTTCCACGTCTGCCGGCCCGGTTAGCCGCGTTGTCCATGCCTGCCATGCCGCTGTCGGCACCAGGGGGGTAGTAGGCAGGGCTAGGCTGCAATCGGATCGGCTGGCTTGGGTCAAGGTGACTAGCCACGCGCTGAATGGCAGCTGGAATGCCGCTTTGCTGCTGCTCCATGGTTGAGGCACGTTGGCGTGCGGGCCGCATGCCCTGCTGAGGATACAGGCCAGGCTGCTGGGAAGCATTACCATACGGCCCAGGAGGCATCTGCGCCGGCTGTTGAGGCATGACCATTTGTCCATAGGCACCTTGCTGCTGGGCTCCGTAGGGCGGCGGCTGAGCTGCGTGACTGTTGCTAGGAGAGTACATTTGTTGGTTATTGTACATTGGCGCTTGCTGAGGGTGTGCGGGTTGTTGATATTGAGCCGCCATCTGGGCATATGCTCCCTGTGCCGCAGAGTTCGCCTGCGCCTGAGCGGCTTGTGCCCTCTGCTTGCTTAAGGCTTCGGCTTGCTGCTGCTGCTGGGTGCCTGGCGCCGGAGACCGATTCAGAGAGCTCGACTTCAGGTTCATGGGCGGCACAAAAGGACCGGTGAACTTCTGCTGAGTGATGAATGGGTGGAGCTTGGCCTGTTGCGGCGACCAACGTTCCAGCGGGTTGATGTTCAGAAGACCCCGTACGAAATCGATAAAGGCGATTCTGTTATTCATTTCTACAAGCCATGTTAGTAATTGTCCCAGAGGTGGTGCAACAACGTGAAATCTTGCCTCTGTCGATCTCGCTCTGCTTCATGTTCTTGCGTGGCATAGGGTACGACTTGATGATCTCTGGCAAAGTGTTTGCCTGGAAGTACTTTTTGCTGGGCTGCTCCTTGGTCGAGTGCTCCCGAGCGTACTGCTCCATGCTCTTCAACTGGTACGTTCGCCGTCCAAACTCGTCCTGCCTCTTCTCAAAGAACTCGCCGGCTTGCTTGCCCATCTCGATCATCCAATTTTGAGGGTTGCCGAGCATGTCAACAATGCGCGAGACTTGGTTGTACTCGGACGATCCAGGGAACAGGGGGAGGCCGAGGAATAGTTCCACTACAATACAGCCGAGTGACCACATGTCGATGGCCGACGAATACGGCAAGCCCAGCAGGACTTCAGGAGACCTGTAAAACCTGGATTGGATGTAAGTGTAGACTGTCTGCCGTTCGTCGCATGCCGAACCAAAATCGATGATCTTGATGATGGGGCTTTCAAGGTTCTTGAGAAGGATATTCTCCGGCTTCAGATCGCAATGAATCAGCCGTGCCTTGTTCAAGAGGGCCAAGCCATTGAGAAGTTGTTGAGCGAAAACACGGACGAGAGTCGTGCTTAGACCTCGGAACTGGTTCTGCTTAATCAACTCGTAAAGGTTGACACTAAGGAGCTCGAAGACCAGGCACAAATGTTGCCGATGGATGAAGGTGTCTTTGAGTCGCAAAAGGTGGTGGTCGTCGTTCTTATCGAGCTTGGTGTTGAGCTAAGGGACTAAGGTCAGTTACTTGTTGTCAATGGTGAGCTAGAGAGCCGCCGTACCAAGTCCAGAACAGAGACCTCCATCATACTCTGGTTAAAGTAGGCCGTGCGATTTTTGATAACCTTGACGGCAACAACCTCCTGGGTCTTGAGGTTTTGACATTTGACAACTTGGCCGAAGGTACCCTGGCCCAGAACGTCGAGAATAAGGTATCGGTTCCTAAATCACAAATCAGCTCGAGTACTCGACCGAGGGCGGCGAAAAAAGCAACGCCGTCGAAACCTGGACGTACTTGTGGCCGGCTTCCTCTGAGCCCAGAATATCGTTCACGTAGAGAATATAGTCGCTGTCTTCGTTGTCGTATCCATCATTCTTAACACCCTTGCTCGGCTTGGTGAGTACTCGGCGGGGGTTTCGCGATGACTCGTATTTGAAGTTCGGGTTGCATATCCTGTACGTAGCAGGCAAATGCACCGTGAGCGCTTGGAGAGGCTGAAAAATGTTAGTAGGCTGCGATGATCTAGAATGACCGGCCAGGAAAATGGGCTTACGCTAATGAATCCTCCTTCGGGGTTCGCACGGCGGAATGGAGGTTGAGAATTGACCTTGGGTCGAAGATCACTCGGGGCTCTAATTTGTCTGAACTCAGGTGCAGGTCCTCGAACCATGGCCTGCGGAATGGGGCGGCGTGGTGACTTGGGATCGTTTGCAAAGGCGCCATCAATGTTGGCAACGACAGCGGACGGGTAGCCGTCGTGGGAGGAGCCATAGGGCGCGATCGGAGGAAGCTGCGGGGCTTGTTGACGGCCACCATAGTGAGGACTATGGGGCAAGTAATCGGGCTGCCTCGTCGGAGACTGTCGTTGGCCCGGAGGCGACGAGAACTGACTTTGCGCCGACTTTGGCGCGTAAGGCGAGGTGGGGGATAGTGCCTCCATTGGCGAGTACCGTTGGGCAGCAGCCGAGGGTTCCTGGGGAGAGTAGAGAGTGGATGAGCGGCTGCCCGAGAGGTGAGACTGGTGATGGGGTCTCATGGGGTATTTCATGCCGGCGTACGAGTCCTGAACGTCGTGCATGGGGATGTCGCCGTTGTTGTCGCGCATCTGGGGGGTGGACATGGGCGAAGCGGCGGCGCTGGCAGCGTGAGAGGATGTGCCGCCAGGGCTTTGATACTGGTCGTGCCTGTAGCCGGCAGAGGGCTGGCCTTGCGGACCGGGTTGACCATTGTACTCCCCACGAGGCATCTGAGCGCCGCTGCCATTGTATCTCCTCGCAGAGCCGGCCGAATCGGCGTAGCCCTGCTGCCACTGGGAGTCCATGGCGGGCGGAGAAGCGATGTTGACTCGAAAGAGGAAATGATGCAGTCGGTCGGGATCGGGATGAGTTGCCAAACGGACGGTTGGATGGAGGAGGTTGAAAGTTGGAAGGGGGAAAGGGCTGGCCGAGCGCTTTAGCTGATGTCGTCGGTGGTTTCGACTGGACGCGTTAAGCGGGCGAATGGGGCCAAGCTGAACTGGGCGTACTAAGGTTGAAAGGCAAGTTACAGGAGCGAGCGCAGACTCGCAGGCAGAGCGAAGCCAAGGGAGATGAGTGAGGTAAGGTTGGCAGTGAGTGTCGAAGGGTCGACCGGGTGTGTGGGCTGCGTTGCTCGTGTCTGATGCGGCGCCGGTAATGTCGCGGTTGGGTGAGGACGAGGATGGGAAGGGTAAGGTACCTTACGTGAGAGGTGGTCAGGTAAGGTATGGCCGTCCAGTACGGATAGGTAGGTGGTGGAAGTGGAAGTAGTGTGTGTGGACTGGCTCAGAGCCTGTCTGGCAAATGCAGAGTGCAGAGTGCAGATTGCAGACCAAGGACGATGGACCAAGGCGCGCAGAGGAAATTGACTGGAGGGATGCAGTCGAGCTCACTGAGGGTGCCAAGGAGAGGGATTCGGCAGAATTGGGCTGACACGGCCCAAACTCTCTTGGTGCG